GCCGAGTCCTCTCTTAAATAGGGTTGTTCACTTGGCTCCGAGACGTCTGCATTCTAGTGCCATTTTTACTTACCTTTCTTACCCCTCTCCAATGTTAACGCTAACGGCGCTCAGTGGATGATAACTTTAGCTATTTGCTAGCCATCTTTCCCTTAGCAACGAAGAGACGAATAGAAAAGACAGCAAGAGACACAACTATTCTTAGAATCCGACAGAAAGGGGAGGGCGGGAGAATGATGCCATCACTGATGGAGAGATGTTTAGGTGACCGGTGCATTTCCTGACAGTCTTTCCCCAAGTTTCATAAGCTCTGTGTGTTGGTATTGTTTATTTTGACATGGCCTTTCCCCCAAGGAGGTAATTTGGACTTATTGTTGATGTAGTTGTGTTGTGGGACTTTTGAAGATCCCCACTTCCATTACTACCACAGGCAGACACCATGAAAACAAAAGGCTTGTTTATGCTGGCTTAACCGGCTGCTCTCATCGCTGAGGGATTAGGTATTCTTTGGGATTATTTTTACCTTGTATGACTTCCTGTTTAGGGTTATGTCGTACAATCTTATTGAAGTCTGTTTATTTTAATTCGCTGCTCACAGCTCTGCAGGTCAGAGCAGAGGCCTCAGAGTTTTAATATTGCATGTAATTTCATGATGGTTGCCAGGTGCAGAAAACATTTCAAAAATCACTTTAATATTTCTATCCAATTTATGTTTACAGTGCTTTAGAACAGGGGAATGTTTTAAGCACATGTTTGCAAGTGAGAAAGAGTGGGTAAGTGAAGATGGGGAGCATTGCCTGGAGGGAGAGACTCGTGTCTGCTGCTCTCTACTCGGGCAGAATTTAAATCAGCTCTGCCCCACCCAAACATCTTACACATTCTCTTGGAAGAGCTGTTCAGTGCTCTCGGACTACACTAACACTTAACAACAGCTGTAAGAGAGATAAAGAGTCCTGAAGATCAGAATAAGATAGTTATTTCATGTGTACATCTGTCTGTACGAGTGTGTTGTAGAAAGGGAATGCATTTGCATTTGTTTGCTACTTTATTGTTGGATAGCCAGTGGGTCATTTTGACTGGTTGGGTCATGTGACACTGACCCTGATGCCCCTGAAGATCTGTGATTTTCACCTTTGTTCTGCACTACCACTCTGTGCTAGATGGTAATGTAGTCGTTTGATTTCATGCGGTCCAGTCATCATGTCCATGTTGACACATTAACCACCTGTATACTGTACACAAGGAATGTGTTAAATTGATCAAAAGTGAGTGCCATTAAAGGTCCCATATTTTACACCTTTCTGGAGTTTTATTTTAGGTTTTGATGTCCTTAAGAATATATATTTGCGGTATAAGTATTCTATTTATCAAAGAATCCTGACAAAAATGTATCACGGTTTCCACAGAAATATTAAGCAGCACAACTGATAATAACTGATAATAACAAGAAATGTTTCTTGAGCACTAAATCAGCATATTAGAATGATTTTTGAAGGATCATGACACTGAAGCCTGGAGTAATTAATGGCTGCTGAAAATTCAGCTTTGCCATCACAGGAATACATTTTTAAAATAAACATTAAATAAACATTTTAAAATATATTAAGATAGTAAATGGTTATTTTAAATTGTAATAATATTTCACAATATTACTGTTTTACTGTATTTTTTTTTTATCAAATAAGTGAAACATTGGTGAGCATAAGGGACTTCTCTCAAAAACATGGAAAAATTGCCAAAAATGGTACAGAACCCAAACTTTTGAATAGTAGTGCATATTCTGATATTTATTTATTTATTTATTGTCTTATCAAACTTGTACCCTGTTAAACTTTTACATTTAGATACATAAAATTGTGAATTTGTTAATTTTGCTTCAGAACTTTGTGTGGTTCTAAAGACTGTAGTTGAAAGCTTGTTTTCAATGTGATGACCAGGAAGTAAAATGCTGTCATATCACTACTTTTGTTTCATGATTTATCTTATTATTATCTTAGGCTTCTGTGCTTGAAAGTGATGACAATAGATTGACATTTCATACTCTTGAAACATTCATGACATTATAAATTCTTAATATTGAACACACATCCTCTGTGTTTCTGTTGCTTTGCAGGAAGATGTGGAGAAACTTACAGACATTGAAAAACTCTACCTCTATCTCAAGTTGCCTTCTGGACCCAGCAGTGGCAATGAGAAAATGTGAGTGATTTTTCTGTCCTCTACTAAATTACATTCAGGCAAAATTCAGTAATGCTTTTATCATCTTTATCATATTGCATTTTGCTAGTGGTAGGGGAAACACAGCCGCAAAACAGTATCTGTGGCTACTAACTGTACATGATTTCAAATTGTATTGTTAAATGCTTTCCTCTCAGTGAGCAGAGCTCCATGTCATCAAGTCGTACCCAGCAGTTGCACGCATTTAGCTGGATTCGTAACCACCTTGAGGAGCATCCCGAAACATCGCTGCCTAAACAAGAAGTCTACGATGTGTACAAGTAAGTCAGGAATCCTGTGCCATCTTGCTTTCTCCATACACTTAAAACTCAATCATCTTGAAGAGATGAAATATGTATACATGTATAATAGGGGTGCTCCGATTGATCGGCTACCGATCACTATCTGCCGATAATCGCTTTGGGATGTTTGATCGGCGGTCTCAAAAAAGGCCGATCTCAAGCTGATGTCTGCCGTGAGAAGGTTTGGCACGACATGCAGCGGCACCGTCTCAGTCTCTGTACGCGCGGGTGAAATAATTATAATGCTGAAGGTGAGGTACAGTTCATATTTCTTCATTAAATAACTTATAATGTAGCTAATTTTAAAACTTTCTGTGAGACAATTTCACAAAAAGCATGAGTGAATCACCACGCGCTCTCTCTCTTTCCCTCTCAAAATGCCCAAATGGCTTCAAATCAAATCGCGTCTGCACTTGAAACGAGCTGCACTTTGCGCAGTTGACACAGGAATTGTCACTTGCACAAACGAGGCAGTGTCGCATCGTCACTAAAAATGTATAAATTGCATTTCTTTTTAATTCTTGCCAGTGTTTAAACCATTCAGCACTCGCACGCTCTCCTAGAGACCGTGCACTCATGCACACTCACAGCGCACACACACATAACGGCAGGGTCACATTACTCCGTTTGCAGTGTGTATGCAGTGCGTATTTTTTCCGCGCTCCCGTTAACGGATTAAAGCATTCACTGCACACGGTTGCTGTCTGGCAGTGTGTTCCAGGAGCGGTGTGTCTGCAGCAGTGCAGAGATCGTTTCCGCACCGAGTCTATTTTTGCTGCGCTGCACGCGCTGAATTAAAGTAACAGCGCATTGTTTGCGGTAAATATGAACATGGCACAAGTAAAAAGCATTGAATAATGTGTTTCTTATATTATTGCGTTTAAACATGTCTATGAAAGATTGTATTAGCTACCGCATTGTGTAAAAAAAGAAAAAACCTTTTCAGTAACAATGTTTGGATTTGAAATCAAAATAATGGATAAATGTTGTGTTTGTAGTAAACAGCCACGGATCAGTTGCAGACTTCTGTGTGAAAGCACAGTGAACACCTGCTGCTTCTGTACGTACCACGTACCACACATGGACTGCATATGCGCTGCAAACGGAGTATGTGTGAACACTGTGTAAAAGGCCGCCTCACATACAACTCACAAAATCAGGCTTGCGCTGTGTGTAAGCTATTGTGCAACAATTGCACGATTGTAAAAACAAAAATGCAGTGCATGATCAAACATTTAGGTGAGATAAATATATATTTTTTAAAAATGTCTAAAAAATGCCCCCCTCCACCCCTCGAGTGAAAAAATCCCCTCTCACAAGAGTCACCTAAGAGGGGAATTCATTTTCAAAAATGAAATTCAGGCCCTGAATAAATGTATAAAATTCCTGATTGGAGTCTTACTATAAATAATTCTACATGATAAAAAGAAGGCTTTAAAAACACCGGTATCGGTGATCGTATCGGCAGATACTGCTTTCTGTGATCGGCGATCGGCCTCAAAAATCCTGATCGGAGCACCCCTAATGTGTAATGTACTTCAGCAAGGTGAGATGCTTTGTGGTTTCTGTGCAAACTGTAATTGATTTTTTTCACAGGAGTTACTGTGATAGTCTGGGGTATCACGCTCTCAGTGCTGCAGACTTCGGAAAGATCATGAAGAACGTCTTTCCCAATATGAAGGCACGTCGACTTGGCATGCGAGGCAAATCCAAATATCCTTCAGTGGAACTTTTTGTAACAATCCCATCCCCCCTTTTTCCAGCCCCCCCAAAACAGACACACACATATACACGTTCCTGTCCCTGAACTCTGTGTACTAAAACATCTGTTGCTGTAATTCATGTAGCCGCTAAATATAGATCAGAAATTTAATCAAATAAAACTTCCTTGAGTCCTTGAACAGAGTTTTGCTGTATAGCAAACCCATTTACCATTGGCTGCCAAATGCTTGATCTTGAAAAGACATTCAGCAAAGTGCCCATTAATTTCTGTACAGCCTTGCATCATTTCTCTATTGCCCTGCGTTAGGTAGTACAGGCTATAGTCTTATTACCTTAGGTAACTTTATTTGAAATTAAAAAAAAAAAAAAAATTCTAATTTATAGGAAAAATAAATTAACCTTATTTTAAGGTTTTGTCAGTAAGCAACATAACATATCTTTAGCTGTTGCATCAAATCTCAGAAATTATAATGTTGTGTAACTGTGGTCATGGTTATTTTGGTATTAATTAAGGCAGGGTTAAGTGCATTTGTGAGTGTGAATTATATTTTCAATTTCAGAGTGGTGTGTCACTGAAATAAACCATGCTTGTTGTTGATGGTTGCCACTGCAACAGAAATCCAATCCTCACTAACTCTAATGCCTAAAAAAGCAACACCATTATTCCAGCAGAGGACCTCTTGTATTTTCTTATGCAAGAGAAGTGAATCAGAGCTTTTTAGTGATTGATTTTTCCATTTAGCACTGCAGTGGTCATACCTTTCTGGTTTGTAAACGCCATGTTTGATGTAATTCCATATGCAGTGTACGCCTAGGAACAAAAACAAATATATCAGCTGTGTGAGATGCTCAGTAAAGGAATGAGGTTAAAGGTACGGTAGGAGTTCATGAGCTGGAAACCCACTATAGACCTACATACTGTCTCTTCTCATACCCAAACTATTCTCACACAAGAGTAGTGATGGGCAAACTTGGCCCTTCCAGGCCACTTTCCTGCAGAGATTTGATCCAACCCTGATATGACTCACCTGCCTGTAGCCTTCTAGTAGTCTTGAAGACAATGATTAGCTGGTTCAGGTGTGCTTGATTAGGGTTGGACCTAACCTCTGAAGGAAAGTGGCCTGGAAGGGCCAAGTCTGCCCACCCCTGCCCTAAAGGGACATGATGGCAGGAAAAATCATATTTTGATGCTTTTGCATTCCCCAGAAAACTTAGCATTTTCTCACAAAAGTATTGAAATATAGTTTTTTTTCTCCCATCTAGCCCCATATCCCCACCCACTCTTTAAAATAATCATATTTTGTTGCTTTGCAGCCTGAAATGAAGACGGACATGGTTTTTGTTTTATCTAGCTCTATTTACTCAGTGCAACTTATAACATCCAAGTGAAAGATAAACACCAACAGCCAAGTTTGCCCACCCCTGCACAAGAGGGTAGATGGGTTAACAGTAAATTACTGTGATTATTGTGTTTTTGGTTTGGTGTGAAAGCTCTGCGATAGTCTTCATGGTCCCACCATGGCTTATGGCACTGGCTTGGCCTCAGTTGTGTGTTTTACATATTGACATATTATGGATTAAACAAAATTAACATTTTAATTCTATAGTATAACATTATTATGTTATTTGCTTCATGCCAAAGTGATCTAATACCTTTTTTGATATGTGGGCATCCACATACCTTTTATTTGTATGATGGACAGATGTATTTCCTTAACTTCTGTGAACGTATTGTTATAGTGGACTTAGGAAGAAGGCTTTTGTACACATGCCATCTCTTCCAAACCTAGATCTTCACAAATCAAGTGACGGGGTGAGTTACTACTCTTTTATTTATTTCATTATGTATCTTACTTTATTTATTTATTTATTTTGTAATTTATGTTCTTGTCTTACCTCTGTTTAGCTGCAATTATATCTCTCTTATTTTAGATATTACTCAAATATCGAAAGATGGCATGTGTCAAAGTCTAGGAAATTGTCTGTTCTATTGAAAACTATTGATTCACTTGATTAATTTTTCATTGTCAGTGTGAAGTGTTTGAACCTACTGGCCAGCTGTCCAGTGCAGAAGATGAGGTGCGCATGGCTGCATGTTGGTTGGTGTGTGAGTGGGCACAGAAAGTGCTAAGTCGGCAGTTTGACACTGTTGAGGATCTGGCTCGATTTCTTTTGAACAGCCACTACATTGGAACTAAGTCTGTGGCTGCTCTTACTGTGATGACCGGTTCCCCCTCAGGTACAGTAAACTTGTAATAGCCCAGCAGTTGACTCCATGTACCTAAACTTGCAAATGTCTCCACCTTGTGGCTAACAACCACAAGACAAAGGCTAAAATAATTGCATGTTTTGGAAAAAAAATTGTTTTTTATTTTTTAAAACGTCATTATTAATCTATAATCAGTTCTCTTTTTTTCCCCAAAGGAGCAAAGATGTCCATTCAGTCATCTGCATTTGCTCCCACAACCGATGCACACTCATTCCAACCTCAGGTTAAAACCCTGGTCTCACACTTCGTAGATGCCAAACAGCAGCTACAAAGGAAGATCCAGAAGAAGCAGCAAGAACAGAAACTGCATTCTCCACTCCCTGGTGAAGCTCAGGCCAGAAGGGCAGATGTGGGCATAGCTCCTGGGGCAGGGACAGGCATACCCTGTGGAAGTCCTGCTCTTCTCTCGCCACAACCTATTGGTATTGTGGTTGCAGCTGTTTCCAGCCCCATCACGGTAAACTATGTTTTTACACAAAAGTAAAACAATATTACAAAAGACACATTTCAATTTAATTTAATGTTTGAATTTTTTTGTTCATTTTTTGTTAATTTGTTTTGTTAATTTAAATTTATAATTGCACCTGTTCTTTGACTAGTATTTGTCATTCCTCTTTTTTTGTATTTCCTCAGGTTCAGAGGAGCAGACAGTTGATGTCTCCTAGCCCTGTTCCCATGGCAGCTGCAGACAGCAAAGTTCTTCCTGTAAACTTTCAAGTGGTTACCCAGTCAATGCAGCCTGTGAAGCAGTGCCCCAAGACACCTCATAACATCTCGGCCAGTCCGATAAGTGACCGGTCAGCCCGTCACCGGTATGCCCAAATCCTGCCCAAACCATCTGCCTCAAGTGGCATAACCCTGCGCTCACCAACACTGCTTATCACCAACAGCCCCATCAAGACGGTAATGTCAACTCCGCATGTCAGTTCGGTCAATGTTGTCAAGATGACGACCATATCTCTAGGCTCTAATGGCAGTGGGACCAGCACACCAGCCGATACCCCTGCCAGCAACAAATCCAGACCTGCATCTGCTGGAATTGCCAGCCTCAACGACGATCCACAGCCAGTCACGCGTGTTCGCAGTGGGTCTATAGCTGCAATGCCATCTGTTTTGGCAAGGTCAGGGCGCTCAACAACCACAACGCCGGTCATCGACACTAAAACAAATACTGAAGCCATAATTGGAAGTAGTCAAGAGCAGGGTGGTACGAGTAGACTGGCAACCTCTCCAGACGCCTTTGGTGGTGTACAATGGTCAGGAAAGCTCAAACCCACAGCAGCTAGCGTACCCACTCCTCTTGACAAGGGCTCTCTGGGATTGGACACTCTAACAGGGACCAAATACAATGAGAGGACACTCCTTAGTGTCAAAACTCTGGCTGCTGGCAGCAATAAAACGTCCAACACTAATGAAAGCACTTTGTACCAGAACACAAGTAGCTCTCAGTCAAACAGTGGTAATGCGGTTGTGACATCACCCAAAGATGCAGTGTTGGCATCCAAGAGCCCTCACAAAAGACCTGGCTTATGCACTGATTTGAGCCCAACACCTGTTAAAAAAGCCCACATTTCTGTGCTACCAGCTGGTGGATCCGATGGACTAAAGTCAAATATAATGGCGAAACAAATTCCAAGATCAAGTACTCCAATAAGGCCGGAAAGTGCACCTCTCACAGCTGTAGGCAAAGCTACTGCAGGCCCGGTCAGGAATACTGGCTTCCAGACAGTTCGCAGGCCACAAAGCATCTCCCAGGGAAGATGGGAAGGAGCTTCATCAATAACAGATTATAGAGTTCCTGTCACCTCTACAGCAAGTCAGGATACTTCAGTGGGAAATGTCATGTTTCAGACTGTTTGCAGAGCTCGAAGCATTTCCCAAGGGAGATGGGATGGATCTTCAACAGGTATCGAAGGTAGAGCTGTGGTCAACCGTACTGTTAGCGCTCCAGGTCAAGCATTGCTACAACAAGTAACAAAAAACTCACAGGATTTGCTTATAGACCTGTCTGACTCTTCTGCAGTATGTGAATTGAACAGTGTATTTTGGGATAGGGAGCTGCAAGATGGCACTCAACAACATCAAGTTTATGGCCCGCAAATGGTGTCTGAGCCAAAGCAAATGTCCACCTCAGTGATGGAGCCCCTTCCTGCAATTGCTCAAGCCTCTCCTTCCAACCAGCAGGTTCAAATGAGTGACTATGGAACCCAGGCCAACCTTGGCTACTTTCCCTTTAATGATGATGACATGACCCAGGATAGCATTGTTGAGGAACTTGTACAAATGGAAGAGCAGATGAAAATTAACAATAGCATGCAAAGTTTCAGCAACTGTGTGGATAATTCACTGCAAGGCCAGCAACAAACCATGCAGAATACCATGATGTCTACCCTCCAGACCAACACCCTATACTACAGCTCTGCTCATAGCAGTAGCACCCCAATCCAAACGCCCACCCCAACACCTACTCCCACTTCAGAGATGATAGGAAGCGGCCAGGGTTTGATGCATGAAAGCCCCTGTTCACGCTTAGCCCCTACCACTCCGGTCGATAGTGCTCTTGGAAGTAGTCGACAAACTCCTATTGGCACGCCACACTCCAACTGCAGCAGTAGTGTCCCACCAAGCCCTGTGGAATGCAGGAACCCTTTTGCCTTTACTCCTATTAACTCCAGCATCACTGGTTACCATGATGGAAGTGCCGTCTCCTCAAGCCCCGTCAAGCCCATGCAAAGACCAATGGCCACACATCCAGATAAGACTAAACTGGAATGGATGAACAGTGGGTACAATAACAGTGGTGGGAACTCCAACAATGGCATTAGCATTCTTCCGAGCTACCAAGACCTAGTAGATGACCACTTTCGAAAGCCTCACGCCTTCGCCATCCCGGGTCAGACCTGTCAGTCACAAACCAGATATCATGACTCCCATATCAGCCGCTTGACACCCATTTCGCCTGTCCAGCAGCAAGTGGCAAGCATGGCTAGCCTCAACAAGAAAGAGGGTTTTGCTGTCCCGGCACCCCTTGACAACAAGGCCAGCACTTCCTCCTCAGGGTCTGGAACATTTCGATGCCGCAGCGTTAGCCCGGCAGTCAGGCAGCGCAACTTGAGCGGGACCCAAGCTCCCAGTGTTCCCCACTCTGTGGTCTCTCCTTTCAACTCACCCATAACACCTGAAGTGCTAAACATCTTTTCTAACAGTGACTCTGATGCAAGCATCAGCAGCATGGCACAGAGGAGTCAGTCTGTTCCAGTGACCGTGATGATGCAGTCTGAGGTTCTACCCATACAAGCAGGCCAGCAGATTAATACCAAAAACATCACCAATGTCCTGATCAACAAAATGGATGGCGATGGAGATGACTCTGTACGTGGCCTCGGAATCAACAACATGCCGTCCAACTACACTGCCCGCATGAATCTCACCCAGATTCTGGAGACCACCACAGTGCCCAGCTTCCCTGGTAGTGCCAGCCACCAAGCTCTGATCTCGCCTTGTTCATCAGCCTTTGAGTCCCAGAAGCCTGGTTACCTCATGAAAAATGCCAGGGAGGAGCCAATGAGCTTCTCTGTACATGAAAGCCAAGCACAATCATCCTCAGGGGAGTACCAGCCGCCACAACAGCAGCAGCAGCACTTAGGTAGATGGCAGCTCCTTGGGCAGGATCAGCAGAGTCAGGCCATGCTGTTGCCTCTACAGCAAAACCTCCTACAACATCAGCACCAGCAACCCTTGGATTTAGACCGAACTGTTAAAGATCTTTTACATGAGGAAAGCTTGAATGCTGGCTCACAGCTTGTGGGTCAAGGATCAGAGCTCAATGCTGGGAGTTCAGAGTTTCCCAGCGATATGCGACTAACCTCTGAGCTCACTGGTAGCATAAATGACTTGAATACATTGGACACCAACCTTCTTTTTGACCCCAGTCAACAGCAAGGACAATATGAAGACTCGACACTGGAAGAACTGAAGAACGACCCACTTTTTCAACAGATATGCAGCGAGACTGTAAATTCTGCTGGCTTTGACTGGTTGGAGAGCAAAGACCAGGCAACAGTGGAAATGTTGGGTTAATTTGTGCTTTTGTGTTGTTTTGATATTTGGATAGTTTTCTATGTATGTATTTTTGAAATCTCATCAGCGTATGTATTCATCTCGTTGTGCAGCCACCTACATGTACTACTATAAGCCCCTGGACGTCATGACACAGGTCCGTATTGAAGTGCCAGGCTGAACAGAAATGATCGCCCTTTAAAGATTGCTGGTTCTTTGTCTCGATGGTTAGTGAAACACAGCTTAACCTTAGGAGTACTGTCACATTTTTCCTCCTCTTTCCCACCAGTTTTGCAAAGAAAATACATGCCAGAGCTTTACATAAGAAGTTGTCAGAGACATTTCTATGCCTCTACACTGTTTTGTGCATTCAGTTACACAACTTTTATATAATCCTTTGAACATTTTGCAGTCAAAGAGCATTGTATGGAAGATTGGAAAATAACTTCTTTTTAACCCTTTATCTTAAAGCAAAATATTTGTATTTTGAGGTACTGTACCTCATCTAATTAGCTTTTTCACTCTGTAAACAAAGTCGGTGCTTCCATGTGCAGAAAACCATAATAAGCGACAGCTTTGAACATGTTACAGCAACATCTGTATTTGTCTTTCAGTAAACAAAGAATAAGGGAAGATCACATCAACAATGTCAAGCTTTCAGATGATGCTTAATATTGAAATACAGCAGCTTATACCTGCAGCAGCTGTTTAGAAAGTAATAACTTATTGCACACAAATGTGCCACCATGTTAGAATTTATAACGTGAGCCAGTAAGTAATTTATATTTGCAGCTTTATTCTAATTGTCAACCACTATGTCAATTGGGAAGTATGCATCTACTTGCACAAAATCGCGTTACATTAAAGGGGTCATATGATGCAATTTAAAACACATTTCATTGCACCAAATACACAAAATAATGTGCTTTTTAGCAACGTCATATGACCCCTTTAAATGACTGATGAATAATGTTCAAAATGAATAAATGAGTGCACTTTTGGTATTTAAATTTACATATGCTAATATTTAACTAAATCAAAATCTATGAAAGGTAAATATTGACCCGAGTTTTTTTTTTTTTTTTTTTTTTGGCAGGACACTTCCCTGAGCTGCATCTCAGGTTTCCCCAACCTCTAGATTTGAATATATCAATCAGATTTTATCCAACAGAACAGGCTGGGTTTAATTTAAACCCAGTCAATGAATAATAATGGAACTTGTTATTGCACTATCTGGCACCTTTATAATTGCATTTACAATTTGAATATGGTTGCGAAAAGGTCTCATTTTAAATGTAAGAATTAGAAGGAAAAAATGGGGGTAATAGTAACTGGAGAAACCAAAATGTCAAAGTGGATTATAGTTGTGAAAGAAAAAATGTTATAGAACAGTTGTCAAACTATCCCAAATGTTTGTTTTATTGTTAACTATGCATTTATGAGGCCATGAAATAGATGATTAGCCACTTTTCTGGCTCTGTATTAATTATCCCCAATTAATGCTTGTCATTTGGCAGTTTGCATAAATGAGATTCATTGAAGTATACTCTCATGCACATGCCTTGTTTTGGCATTTTCAATGACTGTTTTCTACTTGAGCACTTCATTCAGGAACTTCTTTATAACATGCACTATTGTAGAGCCTTTACCCCTTAATCAAAGTATCGCACCAGTTGTAAAAACATCAGGAAACTGAAAATACCCAGATCGCATTACTAATAAATGAGCTCAGTGCTAATATAATCAGATAGCCCCACACCCCCCACTCGCTTTGAAAGCTAGAATGAAGACATTTAATTCAAAGGGCCATTAATGTACTGAAGTACTTGATTAGTAGTCTGCTTTCAGAATAGCAGAGCATAACATACACTTGCTGAGTGTGGTAGTTATTGAATTCCATCTTAGCCTTACTTCCATACCAAAGACAAGTTTTGTAATTGCTGAGAAAAATGTAGAAGGAGTTCTACCATTTTCGTATCACCACTTTCAAATTTAATTCTTAAACCAGCTTTTAAGATGCATGTTTTAAAATGCATATATGAAAATGTCACCCAGGTTTAAATGGGGCCAAGATTGTGGGGTTGACAAGGAAATTTGTTTTGTGCATAATTGTGTCATTTGCATACGACCACTGTAGCACTTAAATTTTATTTACATGACATGTCAGACTTCATGCTTCTGGTATTTGTAGCAGGACAATTCCTAGGGGATGAAAAAAAGTCCACTATGGAATTTCTGTTTGTTGTGACGCTCTGTAAATAAGCTCCATTTATAAAAGTAAAAAAAAAAAAAGACACTTTATTACCAGTTTGACTAACATACATATTTAACCATGATGATAGTGATCCAGTGGTCTTTGACAAAGTTTTTGTTTTGTTTTTGTTACAATTAATAGTTCACATAACTAGACATCTCTTGTATAGATAGATATAGCTTGTTGTGAGTTTTAATTTTCAAGCATTTTTGTCATTTATTTATTATTTGGCTTCCAGGTCTTTTTTTAATACCTTTTTTTTTTTTTTTTGCAGAAGGGTGTGCTTTTGTGTGAGAATATAGCATGGATTTTAAAATGTGTTGTTGTGGCTTTTGCGTATCTTTTCTTTTTTTTTTTTTGGATGCACAGGTATCTAGCAGTTAACACTGGAAATGTAACAACTGAAAATTCACAAAGTTCTTGCGGTTCTTTTTATTGCACTAATTTCATTGATGAACTTTGGCTTGGAGAATTTCAGTGCAATACATGAAGCCCCAGTATACTGTTTTGAAGAGCTACTGTTTGGGGGGGAAAAGATTCAAGTGAAAAAGTGTCAGTTTGTGTTCTTATGTTCAGGAGCCCTTTGAGGATCTCGGTGAGAAGTATTTACATGTAAATGAGTGAAAGCAATTGAAATGTTCAATTAAAACATTAAAATAATCCATTATCAAAATCGTAAATATGCATTTGATCACTGTACATAAATCAGTAACATGAATTCTTTACAGTAACATGAATATAGAAAATTCAGTTGTGACCTGTTTTTTTATTCTTTGTTTTATTATTATTTGAACAATGTCTTCAACATGTACTATTTCCTTCCTCTTAAAAGTATGTATGTGAATATTTGTTTTTTTGAACAAGCACTACTATTTCTATTTTAATGAAGAGGCAGGCCAGAAACATGACTATTATTCTCTGACTTGGTAGAATTTCTTTCCTACCTTTACTATTCCCTCATGCTATTATTGTTTATGTACAGACTCTTTATGGTAGTTTGATAAATTTGTTATGACATTTCAGCAAGATTTTCTTCATTCTTTTGTATTGAAAGTGATTACTGATGTTAAGATTTTTTTAAATGGTTTTAAAAACCAATAAACTTTTTCTAAAGTATTGCAAATAATTTGTTCGGTCTGTTTCAGACAAGTTTGAAAGCTGGATTGGCTTGTGTAAAAAGAGTACACCAAATCTCTTTTTAAAGATTAATTTAAATGATTCTGTGTAAAGAATGCCAAAACTTAGCCCTGGACGCAAGTCAAGGACTGTCAGCCTTATTTGTGAACTAACTAAAACCATCAACCAGTTCAAGCTGTATTTTGAGCATTGAGAAGCAGCTCAGCCAGATCCCTATCAACTTAAAGGTGTCTTTAACCAGGTTGACTTTAGCCATGTAAAACCAACCTATTGAAACTGATATAACAGGAATTTCTGAGAATTTTTTAACAGATATGTACCTATTGAATATATTGGGATATATTGTTTACAGAAGCAGTGTGTGTTTCATGGGAAGTAAAAGGGAGATTCTCCTTTGGCTGATGATGAGTCACTTGTTTTGCATGAAATTTGAACTCGACATACAAACAGACCCATCACAAATAAATACAACTTCACGTGACCAGCAGATGGCGCCATAACACACTATTTTACTCCATAGCACGCTCGTCTAGTCTATACAGTACGTACTCACAAACTAACATGCGAGGTCGTCAAGACAACAAACATATCCTTTAAAACGTGCTATTGAGTATGCTCTTCAAATGTTTTATTGCTTCTGTAATCGTCTTGAGTGAGCTCATATCAGTCGCTGTATTTCCTGGCGTGTGACTCATTGAAGTTCATTCGGTCTGTTTCCTGACGACGTCACTGCTTTGCTCTTTAATTTGACTAACTTCCAGCCTCAGTTTCATTTCAGTGTTGACAGCGGCGCGTGGCGGGCTAACGTTAGATGCTTTTTCTCTGTAGATGACTTGTTGTAACAAACGGAAAACCGCGGTGGAGAGCGAGTTTAACTCTTAGACTTTGTGACCACGGATGAACCATGGCTACAATAACGTGTCGAGTGCAATACCTGGAGGACTCGGACCCGTTCGTGTGCTCAAATTTTCCCGAGCCCCGCAGACCTCTCCAGTATGACTTGAACGAGCATTTGCTATTGAACGAACAGATCGCCGGGATTCACAAGCTGCTCGAAGCGCCTTTGAAGGTCAGTGAAGCTCATTTACCTCATAAAGGTGTGCTTAGCTTACCTGCGCCGAATGGCTGCTAAGTGTCAGCGTGAGGAGTTGATTATTTTAGGCAGTTAAGCTGCGCGACGTGGCTAAAGTTTGTATTGTTTAATAAAAGGCTTGGTTCGTTTTGTCATCGAATAGTCCATAGATTAATCTCCTGGAACTGAGTGAAGTTTATAGCGTGATAGTGGACGGGAAAATCTGAAACGCTTATGACATCAACATTTGAAGTTCAAAGTAGCCTATTAATAACTAGTTTTTCTTTTTGTATTTATTTTACATGGAGTTATATATAAAATAATTGTATTATACAGTCTGTATATATATAT